CTGCATCTTTGAATTTACAGCAGAGCATGGAAGACAGAGGTAGCATTTGCAAAGGTCTTCATTTTCTATTTAGACCCTGTTGGTCATTCAATTGGCCGTGCCCTGTTGGTCTGGCCTTTTCATTCAGTTGGGCATTCTGGCCCTTGTTTATAGTTGCCGCTGTTTGGCATTATGTTCTTGTTTTATTAGCCTTACAAGTTCATATTATACCAAAGAACCTATACAGGTTGAGTGACCCCCTTATCACAAATGCTTTTGAACATAGGTTATTTTGATGTATGAATATTTGCATATATGAGGAGAGCTCATGCAGAATGGCTGCTGTATTTGGAACCAATACTTTAGAATTTGAAGATAAGGCATACTCGACCTGTATTAGCTTTGGGTCCCACTAGTACAATAACTTAAGTGCGGTTTAAGTTTCTTGTTTTCCCCCCCCTCCATTTAAAGGGCCGTGGAGTGCTGAAGATGACGACCTGGTGGAAGCCATTGTCGGACAAGTCAAACTATATAAGTCGTCATTCAAAACACTGCATGGGACAGAGTGGCTGGTTGATGAGGTAAGAGTCTGCACTGTAGAAAATGTATAAAAAGCAAAAATCTATAATAAAAAATCGTTTATTTTTCTTTCTCTGTAATGCAGGTGATTGATGCATACCTTCATCACCTGATTGGAAAGCATCAGGCAAGTGTGACTTAGTGTATGCTTGTGTTGTATGTTTGTTGCATTGTTATTCTACATTATTACTCTTAATCTTTTTAAACAGGAACCTATTCACCAGTTCGATGCAGTAATTTCATCGGCATTATTTTCTGGAAAATTGGATAGACTTGGAAAGGTTAGTTATTTGTCTCAATAACAGCTATTCATACACGCACACACATTAACAAAAATTAAATAGATTTTCTCACCCTCTCCTAATTATTATGTTTATTCCTCATTCTCGGGTCCTCTACCAAAGGCCTGGGAGTTGAAGGGTTGTGCGCAATATTTTCTCTTCTGGACAGCGATCTCAGATGTCCCACCTGGAATCTGTTAAAGTCACTCCCCTAACTTGGCAGTCACAGCCCGAGTGCTCCTATCACAACTCGGACTACTACTGCCTTCTACTACTACTGTATATACACACACACACATATTATACATAGAGAGAGAGAGAGAGAGATGGATGTGTATTTATAATGTGTCAGTGCTTTGTTAAACACAGATCTACACACACCTGTCAAGCCATAAGACTTGCTTTTCCCACAGAAATCTTAAATTTGCAGTGATATTACAACTGCAGGGGAATCTGGGTAAGCATGTGGTAATGAGTTCAGCAAATAATCACATTGTTGCCTCGTTATGCAATTTTATGTTATATAAAATACAAACAAAATGTCTTCTTTTGATTTCTCTGTATTCTTCAGATGAGGATTCCTGGGGAAGATCTCTGGCTATGCCCTGTTAACTTCGGGGCTCACTGGATTTTAGTGGTATTTACTATAGGACTACGTTAATTAACCTTTCTTTACTTGTGTTATCATGTGCTTTTATAATTCATGTAATTATGTTACATATACAGATATTTACCTACATCCCTCTGATACCTGCTGTATACACCAATAATATAAATGTCATAAAGAAAATTTTGTGTTTTCCCGAATTATCTTTTAGATTGTCATTATGTCGAAGAAGGTTATTGTGCTAATTGACCCACTGGGAAATGAACCTAATTATCTATTGAAAGTACAGCACAACTGGAGGTGAGTGTGGCTTGGGGAAAAGTTTTTTTCACTTAAACTGATGTGCACAACGTTCAATTAAAACTTATGTGTAATTTCTTGTTATTTTTTCATAGTATGTTCTTGAAGAAGTATATTCCTGGAGAAGAAGTAGCCCAATGGAATATCCATGTAATGCATCACAGCAACCAGGAGGATTCCAGCAGCTGTGGAGTTCTGATCTTGATGGTAAACATTCATGTACCATTGTGAAAGCTATTAATCATACATGTGAATTGCTGTTACAAATTTAATAATGTATTACAGTTTGCAAAGGAGTTTCTTCAGACCAGAACCATTCATGCAGTGAAGACCTCTGCAGAAGATGTAGCTAATGCACGACTGGAAATATCTTCAGCCCTACTCCAGTATAAAGGTCAGTTATATCACACACTGCATGAAAGCTTTATCAGGCAAATAAATATGTATTCATACTCTAAATCCTCATGGATCCAATCTTGCTAGAAATGTGTTTATTATTAATCACTCCCAAAAAACGTTTTAAGTGACTATACACATTCAATTTCATTTTAACATGTTCTACCATAATGTAAAACCTGTTAAATTATTTGGTTAGGTGCAGCGTTGCAACTACACGCGGTTTGTTCTCCCCCCACATAGCAGGTTATACAGAATACTCCTAAATGTCTGGAAATTATTAAGTTAGAGCCAAGGCTGAGCTTCAAAAAATGTTGGAAAAAAAAACTTTTTTCACCAATATTGAATTTTAGAAAGAATTTCCCTGCCCAATTTCTGACCATTTTAATTTTACTGAGAGCCCTCTAAAATGTCTATGTATTAACAATGGCAGCCGATGGTGGATACTTGAGAACCATTTACTATCAGATTGCGCTATGTTTAAACTGTGGGGTATTTCTAACAAACTAGAAGGGGTCACAGAGATGCTTGTATTCAAAATTGAAAAAGCTCTACCATTCTTTCTATTCTACGCCTCCAATCCTCAACATTGAAATTGTAGTTTGTAATAATATAAAATAAGTACATTGTAATATGCTTTCTGGTTACGATTTGGTGAGTTGTAACTTTTTTTATTTTTACAGTTCCAGAGGGAAGGCGCAAACCCATTTGAGGAGTCACTGCATAAGAGACTATTGGATACTGAATGGCTGTACTACAGTGGCGGCTCTAGACTTGGCGAGGCCTTAGTCGAAACTCATACATGAGGCCACCACGAACACCATTATTGAAAAAAAATAGACTTTCAACTGTATAAGAAGCTGTAGATATGTTGATAGGGGAGCTTCCAGCGCTGGATACAGAGAGCTAGTCTCTGTTTACATCATTGCATTGTCTACCTGAGTGTGTGTCGGGCAGTGAGTATCCTTGTATCTGTATGTATGTTTCTCTGAGCAAGTGTATGTTTGTGTACGGCCTTTGGCACTGAGTTTATGGCGAAGCTCTGTTTTATGACAGTGTGTATAATGATTGCCTTCAGGGGGTGGCAGGGTGAGTGTACAAGAGCAGGAGGGTGCCAGAGTGTTGACAGTGTGTATGGAGGGAGGTGCCAAAGTGCAGAGAGTGGTGCCCGTGTGAGAATAGATGTGACAGTGTGTGGGGAGGGTGACAGTGAGGGGGGGTGAGAGGGGATGACAGGGTGAGTGAAAGAGTAAGAGGGGGGTGACAGTGTGATGGGGGGTGACAGAGTAAGAGGGGGGTGACGTAGTGTGAGGGAGGGATGAGGAGAGGTGACAGGGTGAGAGGGGATGACAGAGGGGGATGACAGGGTGAGTGACAGTAAGGGGGGGTGACATTGTGTGAGGGGGATGACTTGGTGTTGTGGGTGGTGAGGTGACAGGGTGGAAGGAGGGATGACAGAGTGAGAGGGGATGATCGGGTGAGTGACAGTGAGGGTGGGTGCCATAGTGTGGTGAGGGATGACAGGGGGATGAGGAGAGGTGACAGGGTGAGAGGGGATGACAGGGTGAGTGACAGTAAGGGGGGTGACATAGTGTTGTGGGTGAGAGGGGGTGGTGAGGTGACAAGGTGGAAGGAGGGATGACAGAGTGAGAGGGGGTGACGAGGTGACAAGGTGGAAGGAGGGATGACAGAGTGAGAGGGGGTGACGAGGAGAGGGGATGATCAGGTGAGTGACAGTGAGGGGGGGTGACATAGTGTGGTGAGGGATGACAGGGGGATGAGGAGAGGTGACAGGGTGAGAGGGGATGACAGGGTGAGTGACAGTAAGGGGGGTGACATAGTGTTGTGGGTGAGAGGGGGTGGTGAGGTGACAAGGTGGAAGGAGGGATGACAGAGTGAGAGGGGGTGACGAGGTGACAAGGTGGAAGGAGGGATGACAGAGTGAGAGGGGGTGACGAGGAGAGGGGATGATCAGGTGAGTGACAGTGAGGGTGGGTGACATAGTGTGGTGAGGGATGACAGGGGGATGAGGAGAGGTGACAGGGTGAGGGGACATTGCGGGTGAGTGACAGTAAGGGGGTGACATAGTACAGGGGTGAGAGGGGTGGTGAGGTGACAAGGTGGAAGGAGGGATGACGAGTGAGAGACGAGGCAGACAAGGTGGAAGGAGGGATGACAGAGGAGGGGGTGACGAGGAGAGGGGATGATCAGGTGGAGGACAGTGAGGGTGGGTGACATAGTGTGGTGAGGATGACAGGGGGATGAGGAGAGGTGACAGGGGTGAGAGGGGATGACAGGGTGAGTGACAGTAAGGGGGGTGACATAGTGTTGTGGGTGAGAGGGGGTGGTGAGGTGACAAGGTGGAAGGAGGGATGACAGAGTGAGAGGGGGTGACGAGGTGACAAGGTGGAAGGAGGGATGACAGAGTGAGAGGGGGTGACGAGGAGAGGGGATGATCAGGTGAGTGACAGTGAGGGTGGGTGACATAGTGTGGTGAGGGATGACAGGGGGATGAGGAGAGGTGACAGGGTGAGAGGGGATGACAGAAAGAGGGGGATGACAGGGTGAGTGACAGTAAGGGGGGGTGACATTGTGTGAGGGGGATGACTTGGTGAGGTGACAGAGTGGAAGGAGGGATGACAGAGTGAGAGGGAGTGACGAGGAGAGGGGATGATCAGGTGAGTGACAGTGAGGGTGGGTGACATAGTGTGGTGAGGGATGACAGGGAGATGAGGAGAGGTGACAGGGTGAGAGGGGATGACAGAATGAGAGGGGGTGACAGGGTGAGTGACAGTAAGGAGGGGGTGACAGTGTGAGGGGGATGACTTAGTGTTGTGGGTGGTGAGGTGACAGGGTGGAAGGAGGGATGACAGAGTGAGAGGGGGTGACGAGGAGAGGGGATGATCAGGTGAGTGAGAGTGAGGGTGGGTGACATAGTGTGGTGAGGGATGACAGGGTGAGAGGGGGTGACAGGGTGAGTGACAGTAAGGAGGGGGTGACAGTGTGAGGGAGATGATGTAGTGTGTTGGGTGAGAGGGGGTGGTGGGGTGACAGTAAGATATGGGGGGAAGGGTTAAAGGGGGTGGTGAGGTGACAAAGTGAGAGGGAGGGTGACAGAGTAAGAGGGGGTTGACAATAACAATATCTGATATTCGACCACATGTGCAATTATTATGTAATTATATAATGGATAACATACTTTTTCACTTTTTTGTTAAATTGGAAATAAAATATTGTTTGACTTTTGTATATTGCAACTTTTAAAAAGATTAAAACTCTTAATTTTTATATTTACAGTAATTTGTCTTGAATTAACGATAACCTGTTAATTAAGTGTAAGCAGTGTTTAGGAGATACGGTCACAGTATGAGCAGTGTTTAGGTGATACGTTACCAGTATGAGCAGTGTTTAGGCGATAGGGTCACAGTGTAAGCAGTGTTTATGGGATACGGTCACAGTGTAAGCAGTGTTTAAGGGAAACGGTCACAGTGTAAGCCGTGTTAAGGAGATAATGTCACAGTGTAAACAGTGTGTAGGTGATACAGGCGTTTCATTCTCCACAATCACAGTACTTTTGGTTACCTTATAAGTAGTACAGTGACTCACATTGGTTGAATTGGCACATGAATACACATGTGAGCAGTAACGCCACGTCAAGGCTTCAACCCTTGTTACTGACCATTCACACACACCATACGTTTCATTCATACGCATTCGGTATCCCAGATGTTTTGGACTACACCTCCCATAATGGTTTGCCAGCATTATGGGAGATGTAATTCACAGCATCTGGACTGCCCAAGGTTACCTACCTCTGAACTAGACAGTGGTCACAGTACACAATGTTGCTGTGCAAACAGGAGCAGCTTGTCATGTGTCAGATGCCACTTCATTACTTATAAATTCAAAATACTCCACCCTGGAGACGAGCATCAAACATGGGCTTCTTCATTCCTCTTCATGTACTTCGTGTCCCGTAGGAGAACATGCTTGTCAGAGCTGTGACACACACAAAAAGAAATAAACTGGTTAGAGTAACTGGCATAACAGACGCAGTGCATGCAGACTTGCGTGCCACATACATACAGCAGACAGACACAAAGATTGTGGGAGACACACCGGATTAAATATAAGAATCGGGAGTACCATACAAACACAATTCACAAAGAGACGGAGATTATTGAATCCGGTGACCGACGGATTTGGTTGCAGATGTGGGGCAGTCCCTCTCGCTGGGGTGCAGTTTCTCATCCTTCTCTGGCGAGTGACTAGATGGCTGCGGTTTCATAGCAAAAAGCATGCCGTGGCATATGATATCTATGAAATAAATATTTTTCTGTGAAACTAGGGTTGTACACATCTAACACACAGGTCGCACGTAGTGTGTTGCGCCCCATCGAACGCACTGCCCCACACACACACAGGCCACCCCAATATACTTCACAGACCCCCCAATATACAGCGCACCCCCCCATATACAGCGCAGACCACCCCATAGACAGACAGCCCCCCATATACTGCGCAAACCCCCCAATATATTGTGCAGCCCCCCATATGCTGCGCAGACCCCCCAATATACTGTGCAGACCCTCCCATATACAGACAGCCCCCCATATAC